AGACTGGACTGGACTTAGACACCTGCATGCATCAAAACTTACAAACAAACTGACAACAAGACAAGGAAGAGAAGGTAAGAAAAAGCCAAGATAATGAGGGGGGGAACGAGAGACAGGTGAAGAGAGATGAGCCTAATGAAAAGTGATAACAGCTGTCAGTAATGAAAGTGAAAGCGGCAAGTGAGTGAGTGAACGAATAACCAGCAGGGGGAGACAGAGAACGAGCCAGGAGACAGAGAACGAGCCAGGATCATGACAGTACCCCCTCCTCAAAGAGCGCCACCTGGCGCTCCCTAGGAGGAACCCTGGCGAGACCGGAGGAAATCATCAATGAGCGAGGGGTCCAGGATGTCCCGGGGGGAAACCCAGCTTCTCTCCTCAGGCCCGTACCCCTCCCAATCGACCAGGTACTGATGTCCTCGACCCCGACGACGCATATCCAAGATCTTACGGACAGTATAGACAGGAGAATCCTCCACACGGACTGCCGAGAACGCGGTACGAGAAGTCGAGCGATTGACGGGCTTAACGCAGGAGACGTGGAAAACCGGGTGGATGCGACGAAGGTTGGGAGGTAAATGAAGCTTGACGGCGACAGGATTAATAATCTTGACTATACGGAATGGCCCGATAAAACGGGGAGCCAACTTGCGAGAGTCGGACTGAAGAGGTAAATTGGAAGTGGAGAGCCACACTCTCTGGCCAACACAATAGCGGGGACTCTTAATGCGATACTTATTAGCCGAGATGCTCATACGTCTCCTAGCACGACAAAGGGACGATCTCACTCTCCTCCAAGTTCGCTTGCAGCGACTGATGAACGTCTGAACGGAGGGACAGTTAGACTCTGTCTCTTGCGAGGGAAAAAGCGGAGGTTGGTAGCCGAGACAACAATGAAAGGGTGAGAGCCCCGTGGCAGAAGATGGGAGAGAATTGTGGGAATATTCTGCCCAGGGAAGCTGCTCAGCCCAAGACGCAGGATTACGGAACGCCAGACTGCGGAGAATGCGGGCCACAATCTGATTGGCACGTTCGGCCTGACCGTTAGTCTGGGGATGAAACCCCGAAGAGAGGCTGACAGTGGCACCAATAAGGCGACAAAATTCTTTCCAGAATTGTGATGAGAATTGCGGGCCCCTATCAGAAACGACGTCGGTGGGCAAACCGTGCAATCTGAAAACATGATTAACCATTATCTGGGCGGTCTCCTTGGCAGAGGGAAGCTTGGCGAGAGGAATGAAGTGCGCGGACTTCGAAAAACGGTCGACCACAGTAAGAATGACGGTATTACCGGCCGAAGCAGGGAGACCCGTGATAAAGTCGAGCGCTATATGAGACCACGGACGAGTAGGAACTGGTAGCGGGCGTAACAGACCAGCGGGCGGAGAATTACCAGCCTTGGTCTGGGCACAGACAGAACAAGAAGCGATAAAACGGCGCGCGTCATGTACTAAGGTGGGCCACCAAAAGCGTTGGCGAATAAGCGCGATAGTGCCCCGAACGCCGGGGTGGGCTGACAATTTGGAAGAATGTCCCCACTGAAGGACGGCTAGGCGAGTGGGCACCGGAACGAATAAAGAGCCCCTAGGACAATCTCGCGGAGTGACGGCATGGGAAAGAGCACGCTTCACCTGTCTCTCGATTCCCCAAATCGCCGCTCCCACCACACGACCAGGGGGAATAATCTCCTCCCGGGTGGAAGAAGAGGAGGAGGACCCAAAGAGGCGAGACAGCGCGTCCGGTTTAACATTCTTGGACCCGGGCCGATAAGAGATGGAGAAGTCGAAGCGCGTGAAAAACAGCGACCAACGAGCCTGGCGTGCGTTCAGTCTCTTTGCGGAACGGATGTATTCTAAATTTCGATGGTCGGTCCAGACGACAAAAGGAACGGAGGAACCCTCCAACCACTGGCGCCATTCGCCTAAAGCCAGACGAATGGCGAGCAGTTCCCGATTGCCGACATCGTAATTACGTTCCGCGGAAGACAGACGGTGCGAAAAAAAAGCGCAAGGATGTACCTTGTTATCGGAGGCTGACCGCTGAGAAAGAACGGCGCCTACCCCTACCTCCGACGCGTCGACCTCGACAATAAACTGTCTAGTGATATCCGGCATGATCAGAATGGGTGCGGTGGTAAAGAGAACCTTTAGACGGTCAAAAGCCTCTTGAGCGGATTCTGACCACCTAAAACAGGACTTAACTGAGGTCAGGGCGGTGAGCGGCGCGGCTACTTGACTGAAATTGCGTATAAAGCGGCGATAAAAATTAGCAAATCCAAGAAAGCGCTGTAACGCGACACGAGAATCAGGAACGGGCCAGTCAACTACCGCCTGGACCTTAGACGAATCCATACTGATTCCCTCAGCCGAGATGACCGAACCTAAGAATGTAACGGAAGGCACGTGAAAAGAGCATTTCTCAGCCTTTACAAAGAGGCGATTCTCGAGTAAGCGCTGAAGTACGCGGCGTACATGCTGCACATGGACTTGGAGGGAGGGTGAGAAAATCAATATGTCATCGAGATACACAAACACGAACACGTTTAGCATATCCCGAAGGACATCGTTGACAAGGGCTTGAAAGACGGCGGGGGCGTTGACCAAACCGAACGGAAGGACCCGGTATTCAAAGTGCCCGAGGGGTGTATTAAAAGCGGTCTTCCACTCGTCCCCCTCTTTAATTCGTACGAGATGGTAAGCATTGCGAAGATCAAGCTTAGAAAAAATCTTTGCTCCCTGCAAGATCTCGAAAGCTGAAGACATCAGTGGTAAGGGATAGCGGTTCTTAACCGTGATGTCATTCAGCCCCCGATAATCTATGCAGGGACGCAAAGAGCCGTCTTTTTTCTTGACGAAGAAAAAACCCGCACCGGCCGGAGACGAGGACGGGACAACTGTGCCAGCCTTGAGAGAGTCCGACAAATAATTCTCTAACGCCTCCCGCTCAGGAGCCGAGAGGGAATAAAGTCTTCCCCGAGGGGGCGTGGTACCCGGGAGAAGCTCAATACCACAATCGTAGGGGCGGTGAGGAGGGAGAGAAGTGGCCCGGGAACGACTGAATACCTCCCGCAAATCGTGATACTCCTCCGGTACTCCAGACAAATCCCCTGCCTCTTCCTGAAACACAGAAACAGAAGACACAGGAGGAACAGCAGACACAAGACAATCAACATGACACGATAACTTCCAAGACAAGATAGAGCTAAGGGACCAATCGATATGGGGATTATGACGTTTAAGCCAGGGATGGCCTAATACTACTGGAGTAAAGGGCGAACGAAAAACAAGAAAAGAAATAGTCTCTCGATGATTACCAGAAACGGTAAGAGTCAGTGGAACGGTCTCACTTAGAACCCTAGGTAGGGAACTACCGTCTAGGGCGAAAAGGGGGGTTGAATGCTTTAAATAGGTGAGGGGAATACCCTGCTGCCGGGCCCACTCCTCATCCACGAAATTTCCCTCGGCCCCAGAGTCGATCATGGCAGAGCAGGAGACAGATGAACTGGACCACTGAAGATGCACAGGTAGAGTAGTGCAAGAGTCTGAAGGGATCTCTCTAGAGATTGCGCTCGCCAGTAACCCTCCGCCTACTGACGAGCGCTGGCTTTTACTGGGCACGACAAAGCAAAGTGGTCGGGAGCGGCACAGTACATACCAAGTCGATTAACCAGTCTTCTCTCCCGTTCCTTAGGGGAGATTCGCAGACCTCCAAGCTGCATGGGCTCGGGATCCGGACTCGGAGAGGGTATAACGGAACCAGCAGTAGGCGTGGCCCCCAGGACAGACTCCATGCGGCGAGCTCGGCGTCGTAAGTCGAATCTCTTCTCCACTCGAATCGCCAGTTGAATGAGCTCGTCGAGCCGAGCGGGGACCTCTCGGATAAGGATCTCCTCTCTCAGCTCGGAGTTGAGACCCTCCAGAAAACGAGCGACCAACGCGGGCTGGTTCCAGCCACAGGTGGTAGCTAGAGTCTGAAATTCTATGGAGAAATCAGAAACCGAGCGCCTCCCCTGCCGGAGAGAAGACAGCAACCGCGAAGCCTCCTCTCCGTGAGCAGAACGGTCGAAAACCCGGATCATCTCGTCCTTAAACAGTGCGAAGCTGAAGACGCAATCCCTCTCCGCCTCCCAGTTAGCCGCTGCCCATTCCCGTGCCCGGCCGGCGAGAAGGGAGATAACGTACGCCACCTTAGTGCGTTCCTTCGCGTACGTCAATGGTTGCAGGGAGAATATTACCTCACATTGGGTCAGAAACGACCGACACTGTGTGGCCTCACCCAGGTACATGGGCGGATTATTTATCCGGGGCTCCGGAGAGTCATGAGACCCCAGCGAGGAGGGAGGCTGGAGACGCAAGTTGTGGACCTGACAGGAAAGATCCGACATCTGGGCGGCCAAAGTCTCGACCGCGTGTCTGGCTGCGGAGATGTCCTCCTCATGCTTGCCCAGGAGAACACCCTGATGTTTGACAGCGGACTGGAACGCGTTGCCATTCGCTGAGTCCATTCTTGGTCAGTTTGTTCTGTGATGGATTTAGAGAGGACTCAGAAGCGAGGGTGACAATCACAGCTCCTTTAATAGTTATGGTAGGATGACCACAGGTAACTTGTAACAGAGGAATAATATAAATCAGCAACATAAGGCTCCTGTAGAACAGGCAGTCGAACTTGAACAGAAAACTCCCTCTGTGGTTCAGGCAAAGATGAGCAGAGAGCTGGAGCAGAATTACACTCGAAGTCATCAGAGATATGCTTCTAGACTGGACTGGACTTAGACATCTGCATGCATCAAAACTTACAAACAAACTGACAACAAGACAAGGAAGAGAAGGTAAGAAAAAGCCAAGATAATGAGGGGGGGGAACGAGAGACAGGTGAAGAGAGATGAGCCTAATGAAAAGTGATAACAGCTGTCAGTAATGAAAGTGAAAGCGGCAAGTGAGTGAGTGAACGAATAACCAGCAGGGGGAGACAGAGAACGAGCCAGGATCATGACAAATTTATTGTGCATATAATCTGGGCCTCTTGGTAATTGTATAATAATTAGGAAACAATTTAACTGCATTTTCAAATCATGCATCAGTGCATCATCATATATCCCTCACAGCCACATCATTAAAATATCAGATCCATAAACACCAATTCACCCCAAACTTTATCTTGAAAGTCCGTGCAAGTGAGCGACAACTACTTCAAACAGTGTGGTGTTATTCTTGAGTCTGAAGTGTGCATCAGACGTGAGTCTCGATGTAGGAGTGCGTGTGCGAGAGGGAGGGCGTGCGGGGGGCGGGTTCAGGCGTGGTGGCAGGGCTGGGCTCAGAGGCAGGGCTGGGCTGACGGTCCCGCTGGGGCTCCCCTGAATACAGCTCCATGTAAACTTTCTTCCATTCCTGGAACTCTGAGGATGTGAGTTTAGGATTGGCCAGCAGCTTGTCAATCAGTGCTACCTCGCCCTCCCTGTCCTATGGGAGTGAAGAGAGAGAGCAGTGGAGGGTGGGCATTACAGATACAGTCTCCTTCATACAGTGGTTAGGATGTCATAAAGCACGCCACAGGCGGTTAGCGTAGACGTGAAGCGATGTGGACTCAGCCTAGATGAGCAGAGCGGCACACACACGCAAACACACATAGCATGCTCAGACTTGACTGGAGTCCTCTGGCACTGTGGGGCTTTGTGCCCCCAATTAACCTTCTTTCATTCAAGTCTGAGTGATAAGGGATGCTTATAAAACCCACAATGCAACGCAAGGCTCAGCACCAACATAATGAGGACAGCAAGGGGATCGGTGGTGAGGGTTGGGGGGGTGCAAACGCAGAGCCACAGACACAGAGCAAGGGCATAGACCCAACCACAGGCAGACCTAATGGCACCAAACCAGATTAACCCACATAGAGAAGCAGGGTTCAGAGCAGGGTTTGGCTATGAGCTGGTCAAAATGGCGATTAGCTGGTCTTACGTGCTCATTAACTGGTCTAAGATAGTCATTAGCTGGTTTAAGATGGTCACTAGCTGGTCTAAGATGGTCATTAGGTGGTCTAAGATGGCCTAAGCTGGTCGACGTGCTCATAAGCTGATTTAAGATGGTCATTAACTGGTTTAAGAGGGCCATTAGCAGGTTTAGACTGGGCAAAAATTGTCATTAGCTCATCAATAATGATCAATCGTAAATCTTTTTTTTTTTTAAACTCATATGGTGCTATTGAACAGCTGTTTATTACACCCACAATGCAACGCAAGTCTCTGCCCCAACATAATAAGCACAGCACGGGAGCTGGGGGGTGGGGGAGATGGGTCACAGCAGAGGCATGGGTCGACTGACCCAACCATAGAAGACCCAATTGCACCATGAAGAGCCAAAACCAGATTAACCCACACAGAAAAGCAGGGTTTAGAGCAGAGTTTGGCCATACACTCCTCCCACACCAGACAGAGAACTCCGTCTAACATGGATGGGATTCTGGGATAGCAGTTAGGCTTAATAAACTGTATAAAAATGTAAAAAAAAATAATAATAATATTAAAATCCTGCTGTCCCCAGAACCCCACAGACATCAGACAGATGGAGAGGGACGGACGGACAGACGGGACAGATGAAACAAACAGGCACACATGGCTTCAGTGAGACCCATGCGGCAGCAGAGGTCAGATACCTTTAGCGTGCTCTGCAGGATGCGGAGATGATGCAGTTTGTCATTTAGCTGTGGATCGTTGCAACGCCGAATGAAAAGGTGTTTGTACTCCAGACGGGTGGAAAGGCGGTGCTCACCAATGGGCGACAGACTGGCACGCTCCAGTGCCCGGTACAAATCACCAAGCGAATCCGCCTGCCGATGGCACTCCGGCTCCCCGCCTGTGGGGGGCGCCACAGAAAGCCAGGGTTAAATAGGGGTGGCTCCACCAGTAAAGAGTTAGCTATTCAACATGATTAGCTGGTTCAAGCTATCAACCATGGTCAAGATGGTGTGCTCATGCGTTACTCTTGTGCTAGTCCGGAAATAAGTTGAATCACTCATGTCCTGTTGTTGGAGTGTTTGTGTAGGTAAAGCATGTGGGCCATGAACAGTATCTAGTGCTGGGTTGTTATTGGCAGATATCACATGTTTCTTATGATCAGCCTTCCCGAACCCAGTGTACAGTATGTGGGCGAGTATATACCCACTGTTCTGAACAACCACAAGAGGGCAGCAGTCCCACACAACTCCTCCCAGCATTTGCAGGGTATATACTGTATGCATGTAGCGTTCAGCGAGGGAATGTAGTTTGAATAACTCGAAAAATCTAAATGATTATCAATTTAAGCATTTTCATACCCCAATGACTATGCGAAGAATATTATGTTTTATTGTTTGGTATGTACGAATTTTAGCTTTTATTTACATAATAACAACCCTAACCGATATGGACTCTTCTATCTGTCAGGCCACACATTTTGAACCTCTTTATTATATTTCGAACTATTTTTCTTGGTTGTTTATCATTTTGTGTGCAAGTTATTGCTGACAAGCCCTGCTTTTGTTAAATGCCTGCAATAATTGGAAAGAAAAAGCATTTTAACGACCGCTTGGTTAGCTATGTGATGATGAATTACAATAACAACGACTCAACCTGGGTAGATCAATAAAGTTTTTTGTGATCCTTTTGTAACTTGTTAAATGGCACAGAACTCTAGTAGCGCAGAAAAACTTTCCAGTTGCTGGGGAACATGTGATATAGAGTCACGATCAATAGGCCATGCCTCTCTTTTCTCTTCAGTATGTAGTACAGCACGCATGGGCTCCGTGGATGACTAACTGATGCCCCCAACTCCTCCAGAGAGAGATAGAGAGAAAGCGATATAAAAGACACAGATAAGAGGGATACTCATTAAAAAAGCACTGGGATTATATATAGACTGCTGCAGGAGATCCGTCTGAGATGACGAAAAAGGGGAACATTAGAAGAGAAAGTTAGACAGGGTACTGCGAAATGGGGCAGATGGGAAGTGAGGGAGTGGAGATGGCCAGTGAGATGGGGAATATAGATGGTGAGATGGCAAAGAGCCATGAGGCGATAGACTGAGAGACGAGGGGAAGATGAAAAGTAACCCGGGGAGATAAACAGAGTGGTAATCCAGCAGCAGCAAGTGAGAGGCTTCCTAGGAGGTTTGTGGAGAGAAATGTGTCTATCTGCACACCAGACCAAAATGGGACAGAATTAATAGCCCGTTCAGAATTTATTGTTACGGTTTAAGCGTAATTCCATGAGATAGAGCATATCAGGCATTAAAAAAGTAAAAGAGGTGGCCATGTTTAAAAAGTAGTTACATTTATTAATAAGAATCTGAAGTAATATAGTAATATAGTTCATTAGCATTCAACATAGGGTCCCCAAACTTTTGTCAGCCAAAACTTTTTGAAGTAAATTATTTACTTGAAGTACCCCCTAATATTTTAAGTTAAATAATTGAACGTATTTGCGTGTTTACAGTTCTCTGATGACAGTTAATGGTCAAATTACAAGCAGATAAACAAATAAAATATTTATTTTGCATATTGTTTGTAGTGTTTTACTTTAATGTCAGTGTTTTATTAACATTTTTTGTCAGAACTTAAAGTGTCTTTATAAGGTGACTATATTGATGAGTTAATATCCCACGATTCTTTTCGCAGAGTTTATAACACGAAATTGCGAATTTATATCTCGCAAGTCAGACTTTATAAATTGTAATGGTGAGTTTAATCATGAAATTCTGAGAAACAAAAACAAAAGTCAATTACCTTTTTTATTTTTATTCAGTCACGGAAACAAGCTTCCATATCATGTACAAATTGAAAAAGGTACAATGCACTCATTGCGTTTGTGTTGTATTGTAAAACAGTTTTGCTACTATTGGAATATGGGTAAGGTTAGGCACAGGTTTGGTGGTGTGAGTAGGTTTAAGGGTGGGTTGAAAGGTAAAGGAAAGGGTCAACAGTGTAATTATAGATGTAATTACATTGAGGTAATTATAATAATATAAGTACAATGTTGAAACATATATGTACACAATAAGAGCACTGTTTCAAATCATTAATTTATAAATGTTAGAAGTTAAAGACACCTAATATAAAGTGGGACCTCGTTTCCAATTTCACAAATTTTTTCTTCATTGATTTAATCAATTATTAGCTTTTCTTCAACTCACAAACCCCCTCCAGTTCCCTCATGAATCCCAGTTTGAGAAACCCTTGGTTTAATCTGAAACTAATTTTTGGAGAAATATTATGTTAAAGAAAACAATAAATATTAATTACATTTTTTAATTAATATTAAATGTAAAATTAATATGAATACATTAATAAGTTATACTTTAGTCTCTGTACAAATAATAGCTGTTGGAAAAAACTTATAGTTAAGAAGATAAGGTTCTGCTAAATGTATTACTGTCCCTTAAGGGAACTATTAAAATGTTGTCAATTAAATTTTTCAAATACAATTTTTATTTTTTGAGTATCATGGTGTCTGTTTTTGATATTATCATATATAATCATATATAACCTCAAGAGGACAGGCTTACAGAAATGTCTAAGATTAACTGTTGTTGTAAATCAGTTCCAAAATAAGTAAAGTAAAGACAAATCGGCCAGGAGCTTGTATCAGAACCACACCAATACAGCAGGTTTAAACTGAGTTTCATGGGAAAGAGCAAGCATCTATTTCTAGAAGAAGATGCCAGAATAGGCTATGTGTATGTAAGAAACGAGTGGACAGATCTCAGTGGGGAATCTCACAGCACAGCTAAAAAATCCTGCTACTTGGGCACCGTTTATGCTTCATACAGCACCAACAAACACTCAAACAGAGAAAGAGAGGATGATGCAGAAGCTACGAAAAACACAGGAAGAGATACAGATGTAAAAAGAGCCACAAATCCATGCGCATGTCCCTCTCTGAGTGCACTGCTCTTAACAATTTAACATTGAAGCACTCAAATTCACACATGAACTAAAATAACTCTGCTGTTCTCATAATCAGAGGGGCTATTAAAATCGAATATAATTGTGGTAAAGAGGTTTTAGTGGGTTGATTTGAGCCGACCTGGTTTATTTTCTTTTAAGCACAGCTTCTCACATTGCAAAATTATAACAAAGGGAATACTCAGAACTACCTTTGCATAAGCTTGATCAAGAGACAAATGTGTACATTTTGAATGTTAGTCATTTGAATTCTTAAATTGACAGTCCCAATTGAAATCAATTAATAAAATAATAACAAATACATTAATTATAATAAATAAAAAATATATATAATGTATATAAAAATATAAATATATAAATATATATAATATATATATATATAATGTATAATAATACATATACAATTATATATATATATATACAGTATATATATATATATATATATATATATATATATATATAATTGTATATGTATTATTATTATTATCATTTAATTTATTTAACTTAGCACTGTAAATTTAAGATTTTAAATTATTTTAATTTAGGTATATATATTACTTGGGTGTATTCATACAGTATTTTAATAGAAATATGTTGTTGACCCACCATTATTGATGCAGTTAGAACGGCTGAGCTCCCTGCGGCTGGGGTCCCGCTGATCCGCCATGGTGGCAGAGGGTGTGAGGAGGGCATGCAGGCCGCTATCCCGTGGCAAGGTAAAGCTGCGGGGTTTCCCGACTGTGTTAGCAGGGTCTCTGAGCCTCTCCCCTTCGAGCATTGGGAAGGGACCATAATGTTCCTGCATCAGTGTGCGTTGGGCAGGTAGAGTGGATTGGCGGCGATATTCTGGAGAAAGACCTGCCCCCGGCTCACAGAACACAGCGTCTTCTAGGGGCAGGGTCTGCAGGTAGTGGAGGCCCGAGCTGGTCAGAGGGGTTTCAATCAGGTCCTGCCATGAACGGCGCTGGCTGGCGGACTTCCGTGCAGGGGAACCTCCACCGCTGCTGCTGCCCCCTTGAGGTTCGGAGCGGTACTCCTCATGAGAGGAGCGAGAGTGTGAAGTTTCTGTGGATGAGAGACGCCCATGCTTTGGTTCTAGGTAAGGACTGGCAACGCTCACCGGGTTCTGAGTCAGAGAAAAAGTAAAAAGGACACAAAAGAATAAGGTGAACATTCGGTTAAACTCAAGTATTTTAACAACATTTTTGTAGGAAGCTTTTAAACAATATCACACTCATTTATAACTACAACTTAATTTGATGCTCATCATGAAACTATATTTTCAAAGGAATAAAGCATTCATTCCTTTAAAATTCACAAGGCTTACAAATCATGAACGAGCATGACACTTTTGCTCATTCTGTACGTCTCACCTTTAGGTTTGCAAATGAAGAAACTCAAAATATAGACCAGGCACCTGAATAGCCACTCTCGTCTAAGATAGGCTGATGAATAATGAACAGAGAGATATCGGGTTTCTGTGAAACGTACCGAATATAGAAAAACGGAGGACTAGGAGACAGAGATGTGGAGGGAGAAACTAATGCAGTGTTAGTGTGAAATTAGGCTCTAAATATGGGCCAACTTATCTTTTTGCTTTCATCCAATTGGCAAAAGATCAGGTTTAAAGACAGACAGACTATATTCAGACAGACAGATAGATATAGTATAGTAGATTCTGTTTTGTAATGTGGTGAGAAACAACCAGACAACACTGTGGAGGCCTCTCGGTTAACAATGTCAAAGTCCCCTAATTCGTTTATCTCTCGGAACAATGTGTGTGTGTATGTGTGTAGAAGGACTGGAGGGGGCCTTGCGGAAGGAAAAAGAAAAACGTTTAATTCAAGTTTCTTTGTTTGCTCTTAAAAAAAGGCTTTGCTGAAGTGTGCGGCCTCTAGTTGACCTGCCCTGGAGTACAGCACTGAAAATACACAGAAAACGGTGACTGTGCACACAAATTTAACCGCATACGTTCAGGAACACATAGACACCATATACTATAATCTATTCAATTTACAAAACAGTGAAAAATTGTAATGGCACTTGATATATATACAGATCTTGTGAGATCTCATACTGTCTATCAAAAGCACAGAGTAAATGTTACAGTGACTCACAAAGACTGAGAGATAAGTAGAGAAACAGACAGATAAGACTCAATCTCCACACATCTCAACAGTCGGCTTAGAGTTGTGGTGGTCTGACTCGCCCACAGTCACTCAGTGACGTGGCAAGGCCAGGTCTGGGGGACGGCACTACAAAACAGCTCTTTTACCAATGCCAAATGTCAAGCATTATGAGTCTGTGCTATTGTGTGGGATTACACAAAGAGGGAGAGCTGGTATATCTGTGTGCATGCTGGATGCTGACTCACTGAGGGTGGCCGTGGGTACGTGTCATAAGGGGGTGGTGGGCTGTCTTGCTTGGGCGTCGAGGGCGTCTCATTGTCTTCGTGTTCACTTTCACTCCAGTAGTCTGCTTGAAGAGAGAGAGAGAGGGGCATGCAGGCAGTCATTAGCGTGTTGCAAAACATTTCCATAAAGTAAACAATAATTAAATTAAAGCCTCAGAGATCATGTGGGGCACAAAAAGATTGCACGGGCAGGACCTTAAGTAAAACATCTTACTTAACAGTTCCAAAGCCTTTACTAGAACCTATCCCTGGGGTTCAAGAGAGAGGAAATACTGGGCCATTTTAAGCTTTTAAGAGCTGTCTGAAGAAAAAAAAAACTAAATGAAATATTAGTGGCTAATTTTGAATGAACAAAGGAGAGAGATGTTTTTAAGGACAGTATTTACCAGCAGGTTGTAACCCAACTAACAAGCCAAACTTTGACCCCCTTTGGTTTTGCATGTCGACTTGTTGTGGATTACTACAATTAACCTAAAAAAAAAACCTCACTTGCTTTCTCTTTCTGTCTGTTTGTTTACTCCTGTGAGGTGTATTTAGGAAACCTTTTAAAGTCAAACATTTTTCTTGTACATTTTTATTCAAAATGTCATAACTCAATCTTCCAGTGACAACGCCAAAAATTATGCAAGTTTTCTCCAATCATTTTGACAGCTTAAACCCAGTCCCTCCAGAGGCTTGCCTTCATTTTTGAGTGCAATCCCTACATCTCAAATCCAATTAATGGACGATGCAGACCACCAAATCTCCATCCAACATTTTATTTTCTTTCTTGATAATCTGTTACTACGTATGTGCGTCACAATATGGAAGAAAATATCTGTCAATACTACAGTTTCAATTCGACTTTAAGATAATGTTAATGATTACATGATGCAAACAGTATGCAACAAGGGGGGGTCTATGGTTTCAAAACACATTTAGGACACAGTTGTGCTACCTATACTGACAACCTGTCCTTCTTCTACAAAAAAGTAAAAACTTCAGCATCATCAGGAAAGCCTTTAGAGCAGGGCTGGGCAACTCTGGCCCTCTAGATCAACTTCCCTTCAGTGTTTAGCTCCATCTTGGATCAAACTCATCTGCCTGTAGCTCTCTAATAACCCTAGCTTTTTCAAGTGCGTTATTATGCGTTTCTATGCCACCACAATCAATGTCTAAATTAAACTGCAGCAGTCAGGTGGTACAGCAGTCACATGGTACAAGTAAGAGCTCTCAGACAATTCCCATCTTATAAGCTGTAATTACGAGCCCTACGAGGACATGAACGCTTTTTACAAGTCGAAATCACATAAATGGGGTAATTATGACCTGAATGGACCTAAACTCTGCAGTAAAGTGGATCTCGAGGTGTCAGATTTTCCCAACCCTTTCTTTAGAGTGCAGTAAAAGTATGCAAATTTCCCACATCATTTGGCTGCATTACCCAAAAGCATTTTACGTCCAAATAGATCATAGAAACCATAGTCACCAATGGTCTCTCTATGATCTCCTCAGGCTTGCAATGCTTTTGGGAAATGCAGCTCTGATTAGGCCCTCTCTGAATTTTGGTTGTCCCCTCCCACCATTCTCTTTTACATTGAAAGCGACTTAGCATTCAAGGATTATTGTTCTTGGGAATCGAACCTTCATAACCCATAACCTTCCAACAACGAGTATTCTCACCCTGTTCCTGACGGATTCGCTCTCTTTCTGCATAGCCAGCTGCCGCCATGTTGAGACGACTCAACCATCTGTTCATATCATCCACTCCGTCCGCTGCAAAGTAGAAGCTCTTGATTTTGGGATGGCATGCTTTAAACGCACTGTGTAGGGAGCAAAGATTCAATAAGAACTTGTCAAGCATCATCACATTGCTCAAAAGTTCGTAAAGGTACTCACTATTTTTTGCGACATTCACTGGCTCTGTCGATCTTGAACTCGGGGAGGCTGACAAACCCTTCAGCCTTCTCATCCTAAAAGGTGGAGAAAAGAGAGAGAGAGAGAGAGGATTGTGCGGACGCTTCACCCCACTTACACTCTTCTGTAATGTCATTAGGTCCTCATTAGGAGTTACATCTCCTAATTCTCTCTTTTCTTTTCTCTCTTTTTTGGTTCATTCCATTACTTTTTTTCCAGCATTAAACTGCAGCAGCACTGCTGACAGGAGCTCTGCATAAATAAATGAAAAGCATAAATTGTTGCGGCTCTCTGTAAGCCTGTCTGTGTTTACAAAACCCATACAGTAGAAGATCATCAATTATAGCAAAGCCGGACTATGTTGTAGCATTCTCAGTGGACCAAAACCAGGCCGAGAGGAACCCTCCCCGAAACCCCCAGAACGGCAGCCGTATCCCAGTACCCGAGCTGTGATAAAAAGCGAAGGCGCAAGGAGTAATTAATCAAAAAGTGAGTGTTTGTTCAGAGAAGTTCCTTATCTTCATTACAGAAGCGCCATGTGTAGAAGACTGTTTTGTTAGGGTAGATGAGCATTAATCTTATTCCACACAAGAGGGTAAAGCCACACCAATTAAAGTCTCATCTCTAGATCGATACAGTTTCTGCTGCGCTGGTGGATACGAGAAACAACAAAGATAACTGTATTGGCCCACCTCCTCGTTCATGTACCAGTACAAGCAGGCGCCCTTCAAAACAAACCAGTACTTCTTCCATTTCTGTGAGAAATAGCTCTTAGCATCCTTCTTCTTCCACAGCCAGCCCTCACAATCTCCACGGCCCAGGTCCTTACAGGAGATTCGTCTCTTGCTGATGGAGGACAGCGGAGCTGCTGGATGCAATAGAATACAGTATGTGTTAATAAATGTTATAAAATGGATAGTTCAGACTTAAAGTCTGATTGGATGAGGCTGTTGTATAACGGCATCATCAATTAATTTCAACATTAAAGGTATAGCCCATCCAAAAACTAAAATTCTGGCATAATTTCTTTATTGTCATGTTATTATGTTATACATGTTATTACAAACTATTATGACTTTCTCTCTTTTGTAGACCACAAAAAGACAAGTGCAGGTTGCTCTTTACTAACCAATGAAAGTGAATGGTGACCAGTGAACACCACAAAATGAAAAAAACATCATAAATTTAATCATTTTGGCTTGTCCACTATACTTCTGAAGCCGTATGATAACTTTTGTTATTTAAAATTGTTAAAATCTTCCCCACCCGCCATGGCTCTCAATCTCATTCAGTGTTTTGATTATGCACATTTTTAAACTTGCCATGTCAAGACTGAATATGATTTAATTGTACAGAAAACAGGCAGTGTAAGCATCTCATTTTGTGTTTTACAGAAGAAAGAAAGTTTCATTTCTGGGTGAACGGTTCCTTTAATATAACATTGCTTAGCAGCAATCAACCACCTCCTCTACAGTATGTGCTATGGCTAGGAACATCTCTTACTCATAGCAAAATTACTGTGATACAAAAACAATTATGGCAGAAGGCTTATAATTATGAAGTTAATTAACTTTCTTTACTCTTTCCTATGTTTGTGGCCTATTTATTTTCCCTTATGCAGTGAAAATATGCAAGCAGTGTGTGCAATTAAGGCAATGTTCCCAAACATAAGAATAAGGAAAAATAAGGTATCACCTTTACTCTTTTTCTTGGTCTTGGATAGCAGAGAGGATCCCTGGAATGTCTGTAAAGCAGAATTTATATATGTATATTTAAATCCAAATGGAGAAATGTTTGAAAATACATTAGGAGTAAGTGAAAGGAGAAAAAAATGTATTGACCGCATTATCGGTCAACACATCCGATTCTCCCGAGTGGAATCACATGGAGGAAATGTGTGAACATAATCTCTGAGCATCCATCCATCATACAGCAAATTAAAATCGGAGGAAACATGCGAGTAAATGAAGGTGCGAGAGACCAACAGCTAGTGAGAAGGAAGGCGTGAAGAGAGAAAATAAATGTGATTTCTAACATCCGTGGCCCCTGTGTTTACTGAGCAGTAATTCTTGGATCAGCCAACCCAGACCGAGCACATATTTATGATCCGAGCCCTGTGGCAATTCTCCTCTGTGAAGAAACTTCCTGTGAGCTTGGGCAAAAATTTAGAGGAAAACTTGTGTTGCTATGCTAACAGATTAGAGACAGTATCACTGACCTAAAGAAAACACTATCATCATGGTAATTGATTTATTGATATGTGCCAGAGGAGGGAAGCTGCAGTTGCCGAAGGGGAATAACTGAAATTGATTAATGGAACATGTTTAGTAACTCAGGCAACCAGTTTGCAGAATGTCTTTATTTAATCAGGAGTATCTAAATATACCGTGTCCATTTCTTGAAGATGGTTTTCTCATTGGTTTTCCCATTGGTTTTCCCAATGACCCAAGTATGAGTACTGGGTCACGTTCCAACACCATTCACACTCTTTTACCCCACTTTTCTATAAAATTAAGCCCAAAAATATCAAATGAAAAACATGATGGTGGTTTTCCCAGCATTTAACCTCATAACACAATTCAAAGTCAATGCAACTCCCTCCGAAAGCACTGTGGGAATCTCTTCCTAGAAGGTGTGAATCGCAATTGCTGTGTGAACTGAAGCAATTTGTGAGAAAGGCTTAGACACATTAAGACATACTTCCCAGAGGATTCAACACCTAGACATTAATAAAGTGATAAAGCAAACTATGACACAGCATACAGTACATATCAAAGAAACATAATAATACATAGAAGGGTGAATGCCTACAGCAGGCAGTGCCCAATCTTGATTTGCAGAAATAAACTACCAAAGACATTTACAATGTCATTGAAGAAACATAGGAAGCCTTGCTGAGATAATGGCTCTGAAACGACATCCAAACTTGCTTGAAATGATCACAAGCAATCACTAAAATTGTGCAGGGGGTGGAGAGCAACTCCTACAGTGACTAAGGATCGTGTAACAGGCCTTAAACACAAGCAGAACAATTCCTGTCAATCGTTCGTAAAACCATCCTTGTGTAGGAACGTTTTAACAGGGACTTACACAGGAATTCACTCTTCTTGTGCTTCATGACCTCAAAAACCTCAAGCTCTCTGCAATGCATGAAGTCACTTGGATGATGAACAGAAATACACACCCAGAACAAATCCCACAAGACATGAACATGAGATGTGCATCAGCTACTAAGTCCAAAGATATTCTAAACATCATTTCTTATGCCTCGGGAATCATGATCTTCAGAGAAAGAGCATTATAGGACAACTACTACCCATGTGACTCAAGCAATCTCAGAATTTGTCGTGGACATGGCGTTGTTCTTCGACTTGTTTGCCCTCTGCTATATCCATCTCTCTACCGTTTTCTTCTGAAATGGTTCTGTTCATCCCTTCTCTCAGTCTCTAATGTTGTGGGTCTCTTTAAGAACAGACATTGACTTGATCTCTCGAGGATTGTTCAGTAACAGATCGCCCTAGATGGCATGCTAAGACTTGACTTACAACTAAATGCCACATGGCAGCACAGGCTCCCAATTCACATGACATATGGTACAAAACCTCTTTCTCTGTGATATCAAGAACTGACATATGCTAACATATGCAGCATGTGATGGCCTCAAAGCACACGCATTACTCTCTCTTGTTATATTTAAACCAAACCTGTAGGTAAACAGTACCTTCTCTGGAGGATCTTTTTAAATTTTTGTTGGTCTGGTTCGTTGATTTTATTTTGGCTTGTGTTTCACTGTCGAGACAGAGTCAGTTGCTAATAGTGCGGCGTTTTACATTGCGTCCCCACTGCATATTAGCTACACAATACAATGTGACCACTCTCGAAAAGTCGGTAACTAACGTAACCTCGGGTTCTTGAGAGTAGGGACCGAGTGTTGCGCCGACTATTACAATCTATTACTATTACTGGTGCTTCGCTTCAGTTGATTTAACCTGTGCTATGGCGAAATGAAGCAGGTTTTATAGCTATAAGCCACACCCATTCTGGTGGGCTCTGGCGTGCTTGGCACCAAGCTCCCTGATTGGTTTGCGTGTCTCACGAACAGCCAATGGGCAAGCTAGTAGCTCGGCTGGTATTGCTGTGCAGCTGCACTGCGTTTTAAATGTAATCAATATTCTCGAGGAAAGCAATTTCCCACTGCGTATTAGTTACGCAATACAAAGTGATCGTTCTCGAAAGGGAACCAAGTTTACGTTAGTAACAGAGTGCGTTTTTCAAAATTCAGGCAAAATACTTTTGTGTGTGTGTCCAGTGGATGAAGGGAGTGAGTGAGTTGCTGGTATCGTTCAGACAAAATGCAGCTTTTTTATCGGACTGCAACGCAGGCAATAAAACACCACTGTAAACAATAGAAGCTGATGCAGTTACACAGCACATACCAACAGAGGCAGCCTTATTAAATCAACGCCACACAACTTGGTCTCTCTGCTCTGCCTTGCACCATCTTCTCCTCTGGCATCTTACTCATCTTTCATCTCACTTAACCTTCACTTCTAAATATCTTCCACTCTACAATTACCATCTCTTCTGGTTGTATTATCTCCTCTTCTTTTCTTGCATCTTCCCACATAATCTTGCATATTTATTTAGCTTTTTTGTCGTGCCTCATCTTGTCTCCTTCTCACCTCTTCTCACGTTTTTTCTCTCAACTTCTCATCTCAGTTTCATCTTGTCTCCTCTTATGTCTGCTAGTGTTCATGTTCCCCACTCCATGTTTTATCTAGCCGTTCTGATTTTGTCTCATATGGTCTCCTCTCAACTCTTCTTGCATCTTGTTCTCTTATATAATTTGTCTCTTCACTTCTCATTATGTCCCTTCTCTTCTGATTTTATCTTATCATGTCTTGTCTCATCAAGCCTCTTCGCTTTTCTCATTGTATCGCATACTTTCTGTTCTTATTTCATCTCTTCTAGTTTTGCATATCCCCTTCTCCACATCTCACCTCATTGTGTCTCTTCTCTTCTGGTCTTATCTAATTTTTCTCTTCTCGTCTCATCACACCTCTTCCTCTTCTTATTTTATTTTGTTTCTTCACTACTCCTGATTTTGTCTCATCACATCTCTTCTCATTTCATCTCATCTCTTCTTACTGCTCTGTACATACAGTGTAATATGCAGATTATAAGTTAGTGGAGTCACTAGAAAAGGTCATGAGCTACAGAAAGAAAAATAGTAAGAGTGCTGAGACCAGCACATTGGGTCTTGTCCAAAATGATGGTGATGGAGTGGTCAGCACCCAAGTTGTCCCAACCTGGCCTGTACACTCTTTAACCCACATCGGCTCAGAGGACATATGGACACAGATACATCACCCTGCTTGGTGTTTCTAAACAGAAGCAGCGGGTAAGATACACTGTGAAAGTCACTCTTATGCAGGACTGTAACATCCCAGCTGGGATTCACACTTCTTCATGAGGACCTATAATTAGGCATTTTGAAGAGGAAAAAAAGCCAAAACACAATCACTTCTCATGAGCTGGTGGGCATAAGCACAAGATATTGATATGAGGACAGCACATGGCCGAATATTGGCCTATCACGGTTTCAGATTGAGCTTGGCCAATCACATCACTCAATGCCCTGTGACAGATGACAACATAACTTAGCCCCGCCCGCCGCTACTGAACCACCATCTGCCTACTCATCATCCATATGCACACTACACACTAAAACGAGTCACTTTTCCCTGGATTAGATTTCCCTTGGTCTTTCCGTGTGTGGTTATGGCTGCGTTGGTGTGTGCATTCTGAGAATATCGGGTGCCACATTTCCTCGTAATAAACAACACCCATATCTCACCTACATTCCTAATAACTTCGCACAAAGGACGACTAGTCTCACTGAGAAAACCTACCGACACACACACACATATACAGTGCTGAGCACACACTTCCACGCTGACTAAAGGTAGAGGACTAACATCACACACACACACACAAACACAAACGTTTACCCAACATGACCTGGTGCTTTCAATGAAAACTATGTAAGACTCTACCTGCAGTGATCACAGAGACCTTGATCGAGAACAGAGTCGGTGAAAGCAGCCAGGCCAGGAATAATTCTTTGTTTGAGCAACAGAAAATAAAAAGAACAAAGACACTGTGCGATTTTACTCACAATCTCAGAGTTTAGCCCGATCCAGACTGCATGACTCTCAAAAAGAGACTGAACAATACTCTTAGACAAAGAGAAATAACTTGTTTGAGGCATGTAGGATTAAAGGCACACATACTACCACTCGATATGAACTCCTGTAATAGCACACGCGCAACCATTTTTAGGGTTTACAAAGAATGGTGTGAAAAGGGAAAAACATACTGTGGGCGAAAATGCCTTGTTGATGCTAGAGGTCAGAGGAGAATGGGCCGACTGATTCAAACTGATAGAAGAGCAACTTTGACTGATATAACCACTCGTTACAACCGAGGTATGCAGTAAAGCGTTTGTGAAGCCACAACATGCACAACCTTGAGGCGGATGGGCTACAACAGCAGAAGACCCCATCGGGTACCACTCATCTCCACTACAAATAGGAAAAAGAGGCTACAATTTGCAAGAGCTCACCAAAATTGGACAGTTGAAGACGGGAAAAATGTTGCCTAGTCTGATGAGTCTCGATTGAGACATTCAGATGGTAGAGTCAGAATTTGGCATAAACAGAGTGAGAACATGGATCCATCATGCCTTGTTACCACTGTGCAGGCTGCTGGTGGTGGTGGTGTAATAGTGTGAGGGATGTTTTCTTGGCACACTTTAGGCCCCTTAGTGCCAATTGGGCATTGTTTAAATGCCACGGCCTACCTGAGCATTGTTTCTGACCATGTCAAAATGCACTGAAGCAACTGCCATGTGATTGGTTGATTAGATAATTGCATTAATGAGAATTATATATATATACAGAATATATTTAAAGAATTGATATGTAAAATAAATATATCATAAAAATATGTACATTTTCAGCATCATTCCTCCAGTCTTCAGTGTCACATGATCATTCTGATTTGCTGCTCAAATAACATTTCTTATTGTTATTAATGCTGAAAACAGTTGTTTTTCAGGATTCTTTGATTAACAAAGTTCAAAATACCAACTTTACTTCCCGATTCTTTTTACCTCAATTGCACACACAACAATTCCGGTGCCTCCTATGCATAATAAAAGTCTCATGCAGCAACTTCACAATACACATATTGTTACAACTATGATGACCGCAAATAATCCCAGCCTTTAAATCAAAAGAACCAATCCCCTAAATGTTTTTTTTGTTTTGTTACGGCAACATAAGTTTTGCAGGAGATTTTGTTCATTCCCATTCACCCAGATAGGCACAGAACTGTAGAATGGCCGCAGAATGAACTGACTCTCTTCAGAGGACTTTGACAGAAAACATACTACTCACATGGTAAAGAGAGGTGGAGTCTGGGTTAGGTGTGTTCATGGATTCCTGCCGGAGCACTTCCATTTGGAGGGTGGGGAGGAGGGCGTAGTGGGTGGGGCTTCCGCTCTTCTCGCTCTTCTTCTTTCCGCGTTTCCCTGTGTCTCTTTTCATGCTCCGGCCTGCCAGATCGGCAGCCTTCTCATCACTTATATACCTCAACAAAGAGTTTTCTGAGACACAGAGAGAAAGAACAATTTCTTTAATGTCAGTTCTTTTTTTGGGAGCATGAAAGCCCCATGTCAACATATGCACATGGCCATCCTTAAAGGTGCAGATTGTGAGATTGACAGATAGAAGTTGAAATGGGTACTGCAGTCCAAATTAAAAATATTGGAGAGAGTTGTGTTCCCGCCCCATCCTGTTGACGCAGGTTGCCAGATTGAGAACAAGCAAAAGGAAGTAAGTAGATGAGTTGATTTATTAATTTACAATGAGTTGATAACGTGTTTTAATATTCTCCCATTCATAGAGATTTTTAGATGGGTGCGGAGGCTTTTTGGGTCAGGTAGAATTTGCGATCACTGACCCAGTTTGTTCGTTGGCTTCCATGGCTGCAATATGCTGTGTTTTCCGCCAACTGGCAACTTGTGGTGGCAAAATACGCAACGTGCGATATAGCACAGACCAAAACACACATTTCAAAGTAAAATAAATGGCTGTAGAGAGTTTTTCCAGAGAAACGAGTACATGAACTCAGCATGTTTTCTGAATATATGCAAATATATTATGGTGTTATTCTGGTTTTATCGTTTTATTCTGTAGTACAGTCAAAAACGTACATTCAGCACCTTTAAGGTGGTGCAACTGGTGCGACCACATCTGGCCCAATGCTTTAGGGAGTCCATGGTGAATGGACCGAGGGGGACCACCCCCCTTTAATCATTTCACTGCAATCATTTTATTACCAGTTATACCACAAGGCTATACCACCTGCTATGAGAGGGGAGAAAATTCAACAATGTCACCATTTTAAATGGTTAATCAGGCATTAGAGATTTTGTCTGGCATGTGCAGTAAATCAAAATTACATCTGTACAGCCAGTCCTTCTCAAACACTATGGACATTTTCCAGGTTGTGCTGTGTCAAATCACTGAATAAGCTTGCATTAGTATTCCATCAATCAAACATCCCAAACCCCTCTCGAAATACTCCAAACCTCAATTGGCCAATCACAATGATTCATTCCCTCAATAGAGGTCTATCATTAGCACTACTTAAGCCTGTGCACTCTTCCCAAATCAGTCGAATCCAATCAAACTCTAAAGGCTTATTCTTGCCTAATGAGCATAACAAGCCGATTGGTCATAGCTAAATCAGCGAGCCAAACCAACGGGCTCCCAGCAGCCCTGATTTGAGCTCGTCCTTTGATTTAGGAACCACCACAGCCATTGTTGGGCTTCCCTTCTCCCACGCCCAAGTCCACCGTTGCCCGGCAGCAGCCAATAGGATGTGAAACACTCAGGAGAGCTCCTGTCAGAGTTTCCATGGCAACAGCATGCTTCCAGAAGAAGTTCCCTCTTCTTTACGGCTCGGTTTCCCTCATGCTGATGAAAAAGTTAAAGAGGTGGCAGATTTTAAATTGCATAGATTCAGCCAGACAGGGATCACAACCAAGTAGAGTTATTATAAATCATAATTGAATTAACTGTGACTTTTTGAGTTGTAAAAATGGATCGAACTACAGCTCATTAAATGGACAAGGGGTGAATGGATCTAAAATGTCAGTTGGAAAGTTCTGGAAAATCAATCAAAAACAAAGTATCTTTATGTAGGGCTGCACAATTGATCGAAAATAAAAACAAAATCATGACATGGCTTAATGCGATTATCAAAACCACACCTGTCAAAAAAAGAGAGGATTTAAAGGGCTTCCAACGGTTTTCCAGCAAAATAAAAGCTTGATGGTTTTATTTAATTTTAGTTTAAATGTTCATTTTATACAGCCATAAATCTTATTGTAACTTTACAGTTGTAATATCAAATAAAATTATTATTATATATTCTTAAATACTCAATTTATTATTTTATAGTCATATCGATATGTAATAACAAAAATCTGGGTTAAATTGTGCAGTCCTACAAATATGCACAGCAAGCCTGGATTTAATTTTATTATTATTTTAAACCACATTTTAAATTGCAATAGCATTTTTTTTCCAGGCACATTTTTTTTTTTTTAAATTATGCAACTCTACCTTTGTTTGTGTTTGAAAATCAAGAATCAAAACGGATCGCATGAATTTTCAGAATTTTGAATGCAATGCCAGCTATTAGAGGATGGCTTTGGTAGAACCACCATTCTGACAGTTAAATACTATCACTGACAAATTACCCAGATTTCCAAGCTGTGGGTGACCTTAATACATCTTTATCCTCTCCGACCCTCTCTCCACTCCAGCATTTTATCGAAATCTTCTTCCTACATCACTCTTGCCACCTCCTTCGAGTAACTCTTCTTTTACCATCTTTCCTACTCTCAGCTAAACACCATCTGGCAACCTCAACACAAGCAGATTTTCTCCCCAGAGTTTTAAGGAAATGAATGAGTCGAGAAAGCTAGGAAATAAGAGAGCTATCAAGATGCTAATCTCCACACAATACGGATAGACAGAGCTGCTTAACAGGATCAAATAGCAGCCAGGAGACACAGTCAGGTGATCATCCACCTCCTTTGCTCAAAAACACACATATAAAGACATACAAGTTCTACAAACGAGAGAAAAGATAGGGGTTTGGGCAACAGCAAGTCCTGGAGGACACCACCGAAAGAAAACAGGTTAGCGTGGGAAAGCAGTAAGACACGACAAGAGTGAGTCACAACAAAAGATGTTGCCTCTGCATCCACAATGAAGATGGTAAGGAAGTGATGAACTTGACTAAAACTTATCCCTTATCCCTGAACTCATAATATTAAAAAAACACAATGATTAAACTTGATAAAAGAGCTTCATTGATACAAGCAATTGGTATTTTCTGTCTATGGTATTGCAGTCCAACTATTTCTGTCAAGAGTTCTGGACTGTATTTCTAAAGCAGCAGCCAGTTGAGACCGTCTCAGCATTAGCGCACACTGGCTCTGTGTTGGTGCTCAGAGACTGCCACTGTTATCCTGGCACTGCGTGCAGTGCGGCCACAGGAAGTAAACAGAAATGCCCAGCGCGGTTCAGAGCCACCATGCAGCGAGGAGAATTAGATCCATGGAAAACAGCTCAGCTAAACATCACTACTGAATAAGAGCCATGAGAACAAAGAAACTGAGAGAAACAATAAAGGGAAATCCAGGCAGAATGAGATGGAAAACAAAGATGCATTTGAAACCTGAATAAGATATTCAGAATAAATACATTAATATGTACTTATTATTAATATTATTTTAATTAAATGTATACATTTTATTATTTATGATATTCTACTTTTAACTGTAATTAAAATAGACAATTAATGTCACAGGTTTTATTTTGTGATTCATCACTGCATGTTCTAAAAAAATAATATCTATATTTCTTTTCATAATCTTCCATTAAAATGCAATAACATTCTCCACCTCTTTTTCTGCTGATGTAACCAAGGCTCTGAAGTAGGCATAGCAAAAAAAAAAAACCTAATAAATAAAATAAAACAAAAATAGCTGACCATATTTGTTTCTGAAATGTCAATTACTGAACGTTAAGCTCTTGTTTATAGAATTGTTACAATAAAACAGCGCTTTTGCTCGTCAGATATTGTTTCAATATCACAGCCCACTTTTCACGAATCAATAAAATCCTGATGGTTAAAATCAAGGAAGAGATTCCGGAATAAAATCTAAATAATTTAAATCAAACATTTTCCAATAGATCAATATTTATTTTACATGCTTTTTATGGTCTCATATTAATTAAGAGGTTAAATTGAATATTTGTGCTATTAAAACTGATTTGTCACACAGCGGGACCGATTAAAAAAAAAACAAATAAAAAGTTAATTATGACAAAAGGTTTTGGACACTTTCTGATTGTCAGAAGGACCATGCTAATATAATAATATATTATATATAATATACATGATCATTTTCGGATACAACAATAGTGTCAAACAAGACCATAGACCGATGTAATAAAACTACTGTATGCCTTTCATTACTCCATAGATCCATCTTGAAATTAACTGGTAGAAAATAATTTCAAAAATGTATAAGAAAAAATAAAGAACCTATCTATGGAATGAAATGTATTTAATTATTTAATATTTTATTTAACCCAAAAATGCAAAATAGCTATAAACAGACAAAAATAGGTCACCTATGGGCCACTCTCTTTGTAATCAGTTTGATGATTACATTTCCATAATACCTTTGCAGAGTAAAAAGGAGAATGATGAATAAAAACAAGAGAATAACCATGAGTATTTTCTGTAACTGACAAAAAAAAAACTCACCTCTCCGACCTTCTCTCTTCATTCTAGCTGGGTCCTCATAGTCAGGAACCCAGTTATACTCCACAGGCATAGAGATGGGCCTCATACGACCTGAAAGAACAAACTGAATGAGCTCACATCACATTCTGTGTGTGTGTGGAAAGACAAGGGATAGAAAGATGGAGGTAAACTGACAGTTCACAATCCGGTTTCTCCACAGACGCCAAGGTAAGTCTGTGCGAGTGTGTGTTTGTGTAAGACAAACTGTCACAGTTAATGTGTCCTCTAGTTTTCTAGGGAAGCAGCGGGCATGGAGTGTGTCAGCAGTTCTGTGCTACTGCAGAGGCTCATGCTGGCATTTAACGACTAGAGCTGAGTTCTCTGCTTTTGGATATAATGCTACACACACACACACACACACACACAACAAAGTGAAGCCCAGCTCCCTAGAGTTTAATTACAGAAAATCTGAAACCATTTCACAGACATGCTCACTTTTTTTGAACCTCGGAAAACATACAATCATGTGTTGGAAAAACATAGAGCACAGAATGTATTTAGATTAGCAGAAGTTTTCCAAACCAGTTCTTTCTTCTGCAGATCTAAAACGCTTTTTTATCAACAGTTTTCTTACAGTTATGCATCATAATTGGGGTAAAGAATGATTATTTGCTCATTATGTGCTGTTCTACAATCAGCAGATGTTCATAGAAGTTTGGTCTGTGCCTCGAGTTAGTCGCTGGGTCAATATTCAGTCCCTCAGATGTAGACATCTGATGTTAAACCCAGCGGAAAATAACAAATTATTTTACCAAATCCCCCAAAAGAGTAAATAACCCTGTTTAGTTTACCAACTAAACTCCAACTGAAATGAACTCATGGACAAAACTTTTTGTGCCTGCATGTGTGTTAGAGCTGCACGATTCTGGATAAATTGATTTGAGAATCACATTTTTTTTTTTTGGTTTCAAACCGAGATCACGATTATTCCATGATTAAACAGACTAAACAAAATAGCATGTCATTTAATAGAGGTTTTGACAAATGTTAATTGCTGCGGTCTATTTAAAATGTTTAATGAATCTGAATGTATTGTTTAAAAAATTGGTTTGAATGAATGATTCAATGACTCATTCATAAATACTTTATTGTTTCATTACTGGATGAATCAGCATTTTATTTGAATAAATCTCTTGAATGAATGATTCAATGATAAATACATTTTTTAACAGGAACTTGTCGCCACTTGGCGCCAAGTTACTTTTAAAAGGTGATTCATTCTATTTGTTCACTTCTGTAGACATCAGTGTTTATACCAAACTATAAACTTTTATCCAATTTCTTCTGTGATAATATGAACACAGAATTTGAAACAGAAATTATGATACTATGTGGTTGAAAGGACTGTTTGTGAAGTTGTTTCATACTTATCCATGACAGCTGCTCTATCTGGGTCAGCGGCAGTGCCAACGCATATCTGATTTTGTCAAAGTTTTAATAGACACAGGTGAATCGTTGTCAATTAGGAATGAGATTGAGTGGGTGTTTGAATCGAGAACGCAATCTTTTAGCGATTAATCATGCAGTTCTACTGTGTGTGTGTGTTTGTGTACCATAAGTGGATGTGCTGTCTCGGCGGGACGTTGTGGGTCCGTGGCTGGGGTCGTACTCGTAGCAGTACAGGACGGCCTCCTCTTCCATTAGAGGAAATCGCCGTCTGTACTCTTGATCCAGGAATGAGTTTGGTGATTCAGACCCTTTAGCGACAGGTACCCCACCCTCGCCTGGAAGACTGCATTTTTCATCTCTAAAAGCACAACATAACAAAATATATTCAGATTGTATGCACACAGTAAGATTTCTTAATGATTTTGAAAAAAGTATCTTATGCTCACTGCAACTGAGAAAACATGAAAATAGAAATTTTGGTTGCACTGTGTGAGTATTTGCAGTGTGTTTCTGCATTTGCTTGCGTTGTGAGTATTTGTAGAGGCTTTCTGTATTTGGTTGCATTGTGAGTATTTACAATGTGTTTCTGAATTTGGTTGTGTAGCATTTGCAGCACAAGTGTTGTTAAACCGATGATGATCGCTGGTGTTTTTCTTCAGTTGCGGTGCAATTGAGCTCTCTCAGCCACAAAAAACAGTAATATTTTGATATAAAATTTCAATTTCAATTTATATCTACTTTAATGTATTTTAAAATGTAATTTATTCCTGTGATGCGAGTCATTACTCCAGTCTTCGGTGTCACATGACCCCAACTTTTCAATGGTGGTGTAGATCAAATATTACACAGAATTGATTAGCTCATTTGTCAGTAATATTTAATACTACGGCTACTTGGGAAAATGCTCAATATTGAAATTCTTGAATTTAAACAAAAAAACTCTGAAAACTGGTCATTCACAAATAGCAACAGTGGTGATGTCAAAACCATCAGCTCATTAACATATGCCCAGCCCACCCACATATACATACTAATACTTGTACAGCCTTCCAAAATAAATCTCACCAATACAGAGAGCCAATCAAAATAGCAAAACAGCTTGTTTAATTCTTAGGATGTGAGAAAGAGTGAAAATTGTCATGATAAATATGGTGTTTTTCATGTATGCAACCTATACAGGTTAACCTCATGAAAAAAGCAGCAAAAGTGTCAAAAAAACAACAAAAAAACTGAATAAGTTACCTGGGTGTGTACGGCTCAGATGGAGGGGGTGGGATATACAGATCTTGGAGGGCGGAGCTATCACGCTTTGAGGGCGTGCTGATTGTGCTTGTGGGTGTGGCCGAACTGCTGGTTGGACTCCTGGGAACAACTGGCTGCTGGGCAGACAAGATAATTGGATTAAAGATCAAAAGTTCACTTCTACTACGAGCTAAAACTACTGGTAAAATGTCTTCAGGGCACAACTAAATATAATAATGGAGCTCTGTTCCAGGACGTGACCCAGACACTGATATCTGCAGACAGTCACAAGGGCAAGGCATAGAGATTAATAGGTCCCTGAGCAGTGAGGCAGCGGCGCAGTGCTGTCTGCAGTAAACAGTGCACTGGGATCTCTGGGTCAGGATGCTTTGACATAATGAGTGGGAGTCTATGGAAACATTCGTGGCAACTCCACAGAACACAATGATTTCAGAGACGATAGACGTGTGATTAGTGTCTCCAGTGAGCTGAGAGGCTGGGGACAGGGGTTGTGACACAGACTGCACATTTGGATGTACACACACACGCGACATGCACAAAGAGGCACGTGCGAATAATCACAGTGCAATGAGCATGTAAGATGACAGCCGCCAACGTGCAGATCTGTTTGGGAGTGGTTGGGGAAAATGGCTAAAAGTTTAGTCTAGTCACAAGCCTAGAACTAAACTTGAATCCTCCAGCAAAAGCTGATTAAAGCTAATCTGCTCTCCCTGGCACAGACACAAACACTTTCAGGTGCCTTTTAAAAGTGATGTTAGTGCAAATTACTTAAAAAGCAATGCAAGAACCGTAAAAGCAACTCTGATACCCAGCAGTCCTGTGATTAACACTAAATAAAGTATTTTGATGGTTGTGATACAACATTTTAGTTGGAAGAAGTGCATGAAAGCCTGAAACAAGTCCTCGGTAATTCCAGTTTTCTTCCTGCATGAACCTACGTAGGTTTGTAACAAATTTGCATGATACCAGCCTATGGTCTTCATTGGCTTCCCACAAAAAACATCAGCTTTGACCTGCCCTCAAACACTGTAGAGGAAGAGTTTGGTTCATGTTGTAGACATGTCAAGATGATGCTGTTGTTTTGTGCTGCGAAAGCAAATCGCTACACATGCACTTCCAAAGGATGAGGACTTGGCCTCGAATTGATACAGTAAAACCAATGCCATCATTTCTGTTTGTATCACTTTGTATAGAAGTACTGAGGAAGCCTATAGAGCTGAAATTCAGATTTGGTAATGAGTGTTTTGTTTCCGACACGCGTAAGCTGTAGAACAATCACAACAGACTGAACCATCTGGCCAATCAGAGTAAAGTAGGCTCTGAGAAAGAAGGCTCAGAGATTCTGGATCCTTGATCGAGGCATTGCAGATGCTGTGGTGAAATGTATATTATAAGAAAATGAAAGTGTTTTTTGACCTTGGGTGCATGTAAATCTATTGTAGGAGATAGCATAATTGGGGCACTTTCAATGATAAAGATTAACTTTAAGTGAGCGATAGGGTTGGGAATCGAGTATTTGAGGTCAGGAATCAGAAAATCTTAAAACATTTATTATTTCAATCTTTGTTCAGTTGTATCTTTTGCTGTCATTGCTGCTAATTTTCTATTTGTTGTTTTTTTAATTACTGAGTGTTTACTTCTCTTTAATAATGCTATATAAGTTAGGCTAGTAGTTTTTCTATGGTAGGCTATTTTCAAACCACACGCCTTGCATAAGTGTTCTTTAGCTTATTGAGTTTTGTTCATGCAATTCAGCTACAATTAAATGTTTTGCAAAAAGATTAAATGTGAAATATAAGGTTTTTTTTATAGGAATCGATAAGAATCGAAATCGATACGCAGAATCGAAATTTAAATTGGAATTGTTAAATTCAAACGATACCTGTAACCCAACCCTAGCGATAGATGATGGCTGTACAATTACTGTAAATATCCAGTAAAGACCCATAAATAAAACTGTTCAACTGCTGATTTATGAAAATAATGCTGAAAAAACATGATTTATGTATATAACACTGCACAAACAGGCCATTCACAGAACGCAACCATGGTGATGTCATGACGATCAGCTAATTAACATATTCCCACCCATATAAACATATGCAGACCTGTTTTGGAGCGGCTGGGAAAAATGACTAAAAGTGTAGAGCATTGTCCACAATGATATCAATAACCTTCATGGACATGAAAGATGTATATTTATTATAAAAATAACCAAATACTAGGAAATATTTCTCTCCTTATTTTAGTCTAGAGTCACCGGTATTGAACCAAACTTGTGGAATCCTCCACAAAAAGCCGATTAAAGCTAATCTGCTCAGGGAGCGGGTGGCAGATAAAGGGGGAAAGTGCAGCCCAAGTGATGAAAGCTTTGAGGACAGGGCATTTTGGATCCTACCTGCAGGGCCAGGGGCTTCCATCTCATGTTCTTTAGTAGGGCTGGGGCAGAGGTGAGCGTGCTCTGGGGACGCTTTTTCAGGGTCAATGTCACACCGGCAGGGTCTCCACGCAGAGAGCTTACCAAGTTTTTCAACTGCCAGCCCACCTACAGCAACAAACACAGGGTCAACATACACAGACTCGACAAGAACGCCACACGGAGACATCACCTAACAAGCAACTGCTAGGAAATACTAACTTCCGTCTCCTCTATATTCACCTATGGTGAACAATGGAGAGAATATAACTATGTATCACACACACATGCTTCCTGACACACAATATTGGGATGAGTGTACACTAATAAGGCGTGATGTTTGCTAATCTTTCAATTTATTTAACATTGGTTGTTGAGTCTACGGGAGAACTTGACATTCCCTGGAAATGTCAATATTTGAGGCTTCGGTTCATAATATATTATGTGTAAGCCTGAATGAAGAACCAAATGCCTAATGTGGAAAAAATTCATGAAATAATTCAGATGAATGATACTATATTATAATAAATAAAAATAAAATAAGTTTATAAACTGACTATATATATTTGTAATGGTTTAAATAATTCTGTTACACTGGAGGCTACACTTGTTTAAATATAATTTTAAAATAATTTGACACTATATGCAATCTATAAATTTTTAAAGATGTTTATATAACTGATGAATTATTAAACTACATTAATTCATTCATGATATTCCACAGTTTAAAGGCTGTGCAGTGCACCACAAGTGATTTTACATTGATTGAATGGTTAGTTCACCCAAAAATGAAAATGATGTCATCAACGCGTTCATTGAACTCGTTCATATTTTGGGCGAACATGTACTGTACTGTCTGAGTCAATAATACAAAAAATAGTTTGCAGCAACAAATGGAAAAAAAAAGAACTGTAATCTAGTTCGTTTTTCGAACTTGTGAACTAGTTCATTTTAAAATTTGTGAACTGAACTTTGAACTAGTGAACTTTCCCAACACTGGATGTCATTAACGACTCACCCTCATGTCGTCCCGAGCCCGTAAGACCTCCGTTCATCTTCAGAAGACAGTTTAAGATATTTTAGATTTAATCCGAGAGCATTCTGTCCTTGACAACAGAACCGAAAGAGAATACAATGCTGAATAAAGTTGTAGTTTTTGTTAATTTTGGCCAATTAAGCCCAATGATGTAACATGGACTACTTTGATAATGTCTTTATTTCCTTTATTTAAGGACAGTATACCTACATATTTTTTTCAATCGAGGAACAGAAAGCTCTCGAACTAAATCTAAACTATCTTAAACTGTGTTCCGAAGAAGAACGGAGGTCTTACGGGCTTGGGACGACATGTGGGTGAGTCATTAATGACATCAGTTTCATTTTGGGTGAACTAACCCTTAAGGATGTGCAGTTAGAAACAAAGCCACTAAAATATGATAAAAATCATTTGTATAATTACTGACTCAAGTGATGAGTATTGAGAAAATTGGGGTTTTCAAGGTAGGGTCCATGGATAATTATAAAAAATAAAATAAAACAAAATAAATGTAGAAATGCTTCTTATAAAATCATTACGGGTTTTGAATGACATATGGGTGAGTAATTGACACAATTTTCAGTTTTAGGTGAACTATCCCTTTAAGACATAATTTAATGTTTTTATTAAGCAGTTTACTGTTGGCTAGTCCCAGAAATGTATGTGGTTTGAGGTTTTACTATCCTTTAATATTCTTGTGACATTTATTACCCACAATGTAGGCAAAACTTGCCTCACACACACAGTTTACACTAAGCATGCCCTTCACAGACAGACACGACCACAGTACACAACCACAGATACAGACACACTGAGATGGGCTGGAATCTCTGGATATATACGGGACCTGATCCTGTAGCGTATGGGGACTAATCACAGATGTTACATAGAGCAGTCCCCACAATGCACCATTCTTGAACGCTCACTGAGGTTGTTCCTGAGCAAGAACTGCTCATTGTTTGGTAATTGTTTGTCTGTGTGTTTTTTGCTACAAGCCGAATTTGTAACGCTTATCAGACACTCTTTTATCCAATTATGAAGGGGATGACAATCTAATTACATGAAGATTAATGAAGCCTTAGTGTTGCTGATCTTTCATCTGAAAAAGAGCTCAGCATTCCTCACCACGGCGAAAAAATGACTGAAGACAAACAAGAAAAACTGATGCAGAAGTTGAATTCTGATCCCTGGAGGTAAAACAGAAGAAAACGCTTAAATCTAAACAGAGTTGTTAGAAGTCTTCTGCTTTTGTAACTTCATAATAAATGCCACCACTTGAGAGTCAAACAAAAATAATATTCGAAGAATTATTCAGCACCTCATACATGTCAAACTTTAAGGGAATAATTTCAGACAAAATTGATTTCACAAGCTAAAATCCATACAATTACTTGAACACACGCATACAGAATATGCAGAAAAAGCTCTTTATCAACTCTTTGAAGGTAACTCCACATGGTATGATCACTGGAGTACCTATTGAAGCACTCCAAATTCACGAGAAAAATAAAATCACTCAAATACGACCATCCTTAAAAACACACTCCACAGTCCTTAATTTATAGCCTCTTCTGCCCTTGAAACACCCTCCAGTCTCATTCAGAAACACCATAACACACTCAATCATGAATTTAGTCAAATTGGAATATAGTTGCCCCAGTCCTAGAAATGAGCTGAGAATACATCAAGTAATACTTGAAATATGTTTTAAACCTCTTGGTGCTTTAACAAGGACACGTTAAAGCCCTTAAATTTAAATGAAACTCATCTCAGTCCCATAATTCTATACACAATAACAGAGGAAGGGGGCAACTGCCGTTGAATGCAAAGTGAGACTTACATACATGGGGGGAGAAAAACGATGGGTGAATGGATGGATGGATGATACAGTAGAAGTATAAATGAGGCAAATGGATTGAATGACTAAAGAGATACTCACCACTGTCTGATGGTTCACCTGGATGACCTCATCCCCTGCGTGAATCTTTTTACAGCGATCTGCTGGAGACTAAGAAAGAGATGCAAAGGAGAGATATAAAAAGACGAATTGGGGAAATAAATAAATGTCAAATAAAAAAGACATACTGCAATATTAAGTATTGAAATTACTTCTAAGAATTTAGTAGATGCTTTTAACAAAACATTACCTTGCATTTAAGGTATACACTCTGGGTCAAAATATAGAATAATTAAAGGATAGAGGTTCAAACTCTTCAATTTCTCACCCTAATGTCGATCCAAACCCATTTTCAAACTTTCGTAATATAACCAAACTTTCGTTTATCTTCAAAACACAAATAAAGATATTTTAAATGAAATCTGAGAGATTTCTGTTCCTCCATTGACAGCAACTCAACTAGCACCGCTTCAAAAGGGAGATCGTAAAGAGATCGTAAAACTAATCCATATGAATTGAGCGGTTTAGTCCAAATATTCTGAAGAGACTTACTATGATAAACAAATTTAATCTACGCTTTTTTTTCACATATACAATTCATCAGCGAACATAAACCATACAAAGCTGCTGCATAACATAATATAATGAAACTCATTGGTTCTTGGGAAGCTCAAACATATGCTCTGTAACACACGAGAATGGTTCTCAGTGTTCTCTCACATCAAGCAAACATGCTTGAGCTTCCGTTTACCATATCTAATAAGATAAGAAAAACCTAAGATAAGAAAAACCTGTATTTGATGTGTGCATTGATGAACATAAATCTGTTTAATGTATAAAGTCTATTCTTTATTGAGAGCACTCCTGTCTGTTTAGCTCTCTCTCTCGCTCGCTATTTGGTTTGACCATGTGCAATAATAGCTGTACGATCAATTGCTGAGATTTATCAGTTTTATCGGCAGCATAATAGACATTATAAAGACATGAATTAGAACACACACATTAACACTGACTGGCTCTTACCCCCTCTGTGGTTCCTGTGATAACATGAAGTCCATCATATGTGGATTTGATGTACATTCCCTTAAGATTTAAGAGACAAAGGAAAAAGACAATAGACTAGAATGAATAATCTCCATTTTTTCCTTTTTCTGTCTCACACTCACATTGAAGAACATTTCAAATCCCTTCTAGTTTATTCATATGCATATACAGAAGTGAAATTACTTTTAATAAAAGAGATGTTTGGTCACATGCATGAATTACAAAAAACAACTTTAAAGCTTTTAAAGTGGCAATATAAACAGAAATCTCGTGTAACATTATCAATATCTTTACTGTCAATTTTGATACATTTAATGCATCCTTGCTGTTACAATTTAAAAAGTTAAAAGTATTAATTCTTTTTTTTTTTAATCCTAAAGACCCCAAACTTTTAAAGGTAATGTATATGATATATTAGTTACTAATACTATTTTAAATAAAATAATGAATAGCATTTAATACTGTATGTAAATAAATGATCCGATAATCTGATTTATGTTTACAAAAGTGTTTATAAACACAATTAGTATGACAGTAGTAACATGTTATGAACAAATATATTTACATAGGATTTCTAATCAAATGTAATCTAAATAATTGAATTAAAAACACAGTAAAAAAAAACAGCAGTAATTAGAACAGCGGCCGGCAGCAAATTATTAATGTATGATCTTACCAGACCCTCGGTAGGTTTAATATTAGCCAGCTGAACCACTTCCAGGTGTGCCGACTGGGAGACCAGGGGGTCTGACGACAGTGAGATGATGTGATCACACACTCCAGATAATGTCTTACACTTCAGAAAGAGAAAAAGAGACAGCATATCAATTATTTGCCACAGTAGTTGCCACATAGCTGTAGGAACCAACTACCAACAACCTACCAACCCATCTAGCAACCAAATCAATCAATCTATCAATCTATCAATCTATCTATCTATCTATCTATCTATCTATCTATCTATCTATCTATCTATCTATCTATCTATCTATCTATCTATCTATCTATCTATCTATCTATCTATCTATCTATCTATCACCAACCTACACACAGCAAACAGTGTTGGGGATTTTTTAAAAGTAATGCATTACAATATTGTGTTACTCCCTAATAAGTAACTAATTGTGTTACTTGTGAAAATTTGTTGTCTTATGTTTTTATATGCATTACAGTAACTCAATATTACAGGTTTTTACTCTTTTGAATGTTCTTACTTTTACTAGTCTTGTTAGCTGGCACCTCCATCTTGTTGTATTGTGTTAGTTTAGCAAAATGATCTGCAATAGCAAAAGTCTATTGCTTATATCCATACGTGCGTCTAACTACGATTACGATTGCTTAGACTAGAGTGGCCTATGACTTACGATTATCAGCCCATAAAAAAAGGACTACGACAGACTAGTCGACTTTACAGTAATGCTCTGCCATGACCCAAGCTTGACGTTGACAAGTCGCTGATCATGGCCAATAGAAGGCACAACAGGATAAGAAATCTTTGAAGAACATATTTTACAAATTTCTACTTTTGCAACAGTTACTGTAAAATGACAAGTTGACAAGTTAGACAAAAGGCAAGGTAATCGCCTTTCTAAACTAATGCACTGCTGTATTGTAACGCTCATAAAT